GTAAATAAAATGATAAATTGATTATGATAATTAGTTTAATATGTGATTAATAAAGTTAATTAATTTTAATTAGAGTGAATTAATTATGTTTATTGTCTTTAATTTGAGATAATTAGATTCACTTAATTATCTTGATTAGAAGTTAATAAATATGATTAATTAATTTTAATTAATGATAAGTTAGTCATTCAATTGAACTAATTATCATAATTAAGTAATTTTAAATCTTCTGTTTGCCTTAATCTTGTTTTAAAAAAAAAAAATCAAAAGTTATCTTTTTTATTTCAATTTCACACAAAACTTTCATGTTTAAGCACTTTAGTCCAAAAGTTTCAAATCTTTTCAAATCAGTCCCTTTAATTTTTACTTGTGTTCATTGTGCAAGTATGTCTTTGATTTTGTCCATTTTAGTCCAAAAATTAAAAAAAAATGTTTCAATTTGGTTTACCTTTCTTTCAAGCTTGCTTATTAAGACTTAAATACAAACATAATGAACAAGTTGAATCAAAACCCCAATTTTGAAGTATGCAACCGTGTTTAAATAGAGGATTGTGAGGTGCGCATATATTTTTCCTCACTTCTAACTGAACCCCCGAACCTTGATCTCTGCGTAGACCCGTTTTAGGTGACTTGTTTCACCTTATAATTTGGATGAGTGGTGACTCCCTTTTCTTTAATATTTTCACACTTAATCTCTTTTTTAAGTGGTTGTCAACAATGGCCCTTTCAATAACATTCAAACATTGAGTGAAATGATCTGAATGTTGTTGTTGGGCTTGTAGAAAGCTTTCTAGACTACGTTTTATGTTCTGATTGGCTTCTTCTTGTAGCTTCCTTATTTGCTGAAGTTCTTGAGATATTTTATTACTTGACTCAGCAGAATCAACTTTTTCCTCATCATCATTGCGATATATGGGATTGCCATATGAGCGATCAGCCAAGGGAGAAATAGGTGGAAGATGCTTCGGACTATTTTCACCTTCAGAATGTCTTGGACTCACAGGAGCCACTTCCACTTGTTGTGCAACTTCTTTTCCAACTCTCCTAGGCATGACTATGGCTGCCTTATGCCCAGGAAAAGCAAAAAGAGGATCAAAAAACTTTTCTTGATACTCAATCGCCAGCAGGAGGTCCCACTGGGCGTGCCAAAAAGAGATTGTTATCCTAAAAAATCTCCTTGACACGTGGCAGATGAAATGGCGTGCCATTTGCTTTGCTCAAAACAAGAAAGATTTTTCCGACGACCCTCTTATCTTTCCAAGCGTAGAACTCAGTTTGTGAGTTGATGGAAGAACGTCGTAAACTGCGCCTTAAAGATCAGACGATTGGCAAAAACGAGGGATGAACTTCCTGCACTAAATGGGTTATATGGAAAAATGCCCTAGATATGATTCCAAGGACTCCTCAAAGCTAATGTAATCAAGAAAAGTTAAGACTGCAAGGAAAATAAATGATCGCTAAACTACTAAAAATTTAAATGAACTTTAAATATGCAAACTGGGTTGAAACAGAGCTTTAAAAGGAAATTTAATTACAGCAAAAATAAATTAAGTTAAAGTAAATAAAACTGGAAACAAGAAAAATCTACTGGCAGCATGAAATATAAATCAACAAAAATGGAATTGAACATGAAATTAAATGTCGACATCATTTGATTTAATTAAATGAAACTTGGAAAATAGAAAAGGAAAAGAAGCAATCCAATCACAAAGAAATACTACTAAAGGCAATGAAACTCACCATTACAAATCTGATAAAAGGAGAACTGAATTGCTAATCTAAGCTGAAGCATAGAGCTGAAATTAAATTAAAGGGCTTGAAACTAAGATGAATTTGAGCATAAAGAGAAATTGTGCTGAGTTTATTGTGTGAGATGTCGATCCTTTGCTTGATCTTATCATTAGGTATTTATAGCATCTTGGCAGTATGGTGGAGATCTGCAGCAGCATCCTGAAAAACCAACAGCAGCCTGATATCTGCAACAAATTGATTAATTTGTTGGTGCTGCGACTATCCTCCTGGAAGCTCGCAACAAGAGAACGGTTTTGTTGCCGTTGTGGAAATAACCACTTAATCTCATTTGAAAAAATTCACACAAACTTTCAATTAATAAAATATCTGCCATCATGGGTGACACATGACAGCACTCCATTTGTTGTAAAATTAGGTGAAACAGTATCATTAATTTTTTTTTTAATTGTTTAGGTGTTTAGAAAAGTTTTGTTTAATATTTTGGTTTTGAGTTTACACTTTATTGTATTATTAAT